ACGCGCACCACGACTAATCCCCACGGCCCACTGAACACCCTGCAAACCCAGCAGACAGGTAAGGCAGCGCGGGGCTGACAGGCATGCAACTCCAAGGCTCGAACCCGTGACAGCAGAAGGCGCAAGGCGCCATTCCACCGCTGGGCCGTTGCCTTGGATGCACCCACTGACATTATTACTGGATATGGGTTTTCAGGAATCAATAATGTCAGTGAACACCAGTAATAATCTTCAGTGCCCTCAGAGATTCTTGCTCTGATGATAAGATGTTTCCTGAAACCCCAGTTCTGTTGTGTCTCCCTCTCTGTTCATAAATGATTTAGTGTTTTTTTTTTCCTAGTAAAAAACGTCAAGAAATTTCGACAAAATACTAAAGTTGAAGAAATAGTCAAGGACATAATATAGTTAATGGCCTGCGTTCTTCGCAGATAATCTATTAATAGGTTACGGTTGATGGAGACAATATATATAGTATATTGAAATAAGAAAAAAAATCCATTAAAACAATTATCTTTCTTATATAAATTCTATTAAATTGCACGTGTTATATTTTTATATATATAATGATAATCAAGTGAATGGCACGTGTTATTAGTTTCAAGGATAAAAACCCCATGATATATTGAAGCTGTTCTTTGTCTGGGTGTGTGCATGGTAAATATTTTATTTTGGTCTTGAAGAAGGGCAGTATGGCAGTGAAACTTTGTTACAAAACTTAGGTACACAATAATTTTAACAATGATTATTACATCAACACCAACAAGGGGTGACATTATTACTGGATATCAACACTGTTTGCACTGAAGATAAACACTATCAGGTTATAGTGGATTTACTGTTTATATTTTAATAATTCATTTTTATTCTTGAAGTTCTATTTTGGAAGATTGGATTATAATGGAAGGTCAAACGTTTGTTTATTAGGTAAGGATGGATTTGAAAGAAAAGAAAACGACATCAAATATAGATATGCTAGAGATTTTATATAAAATATACTTAGGTTTTTTATTTTTAAAATAACATAAACTATATAATTTTAATCTTTTTAAATTTTTTAAAAATTATTTTTGGTAAAAAACTTCATTTGTATTATTCTTCAATCCTTGAATAAAGAGATCAAAGAAAGAGGTTATCAAATTCAAACCACAAGAGAAAGTCACAATTCAAGTTATTTTCAACCATCAAAATGTTTTTTTTTGTCCACGGGTTTCATGCGATGAGAAATATTTGATGGTAATGTTTTGGAGCTCTCAACATTGCTTGAAAAACAAATCTAAGTAAAAAAAAATAAATTTAACTCGGTTTGATATCATATCTTCAAACTTTTTTGGGTTAACAGATTGGTTTGTGAATATTTCAAGAGTGTTGGTAAGATTTTTAGAGTTGAAGTAACTTAAAAACTAGGTTTTTTAGAGAAAAAAACACCGCCTTATTTTTTCATTTGTCACAATGATAACTAGAATTTAAACTCATTGATGATACATTGTTTGTGTCCTTTTTTTCTTTTAAAAAATATCATCCACCTCTTTAAAAAATTAAAAACAAAATAAACTAAGTACATGCATGTTGGCTTGGACTTAAAAACCTGCCCCGCATCTAGAATTTTCCTTACAATGGCTCTAATGCATTGAGCCATAAGCTTGCATTAGGTTTTTTGTTTTTAAAAATAACTCAGATTATATAATTTTAATCCCTTTAAACTTTAAAAAAATTACTTTTGATAAGAAACTTTATTTGTATTATTCTTCAATCCTTGAATAAAGAGATGAAAAAAAAAGGTTAACAAATTCTAACGATAAGAGAAAGTCACCATTCAAGTTATTTTCCACCATTAAAATGCTTTTTTTATGTCTACGGGTTTCAGGCGACAAGAAATGTTTGATGGTGGTGTTTTAGAGCTCTCAATATTGCTTGAAAAACAAATCTAAATCAAAAAAATAAATCTAACTCGGTTTGATATCATGTCTTTAGATTTTTTAAGGTTAGGAGATTAGTTTGTGGGTGTTCTAAGAGTGTTGGCAAGGTTTTTAGAATTGAAGTGATTTAAAAATTAGGTTTTTTTAAAAAAAAACACCATCTTAATTTTTTTATTTGTCATAATGATAGCTAGAATTTAAGCTCGTTGATGATACATTGCTTACGTCCTTTTTTTCTTAAAAAAAAAAAACATTATCCATCTCTTTAAAAAATTAAAAACAAAATAAACTAAGCCCACGCATGTGGGCTTGGGCTTAAAAACCCACCCCGCATCTGGAATTTTCCTTACTATGGCTCTAATGCATTGAGCCATAAGCCTGCGCACCTAAATTTTTTTTTTATATGTTGTGTTTTTTTATATATAAGTTTAAATATAAATTTAAGAGAAAAAATTATTATACTCGGTTAATTTCATGATTTAAATTACAGGTTTGATAAGTTAAATTAGAATATTTGAGTTATTATTTTTAATTTTGTTTTTTTTTAATTTCTATTTTTTAATGTTTTTTAAAATAATTTTTAAATTTATATTTCAATCAATATCTTTTTTCTAAGATTTTATTTTCTTATTTAACCATTTTATTTTCTTGTTTAACCATTTTTTAATGGAGATTTTGTTTTAATTATTTTATGTGTATTTAATTTTTAATTTATATTTCATGTCAATTTTCTTTGAAAAAGGTTGATATATATATCCATCACAATTATTGCAGGTTTCTTATACACCACCAACTTTCAATTATTGATCATTCAATCTTCTTTCCACAATAATTATAAAATCTGACTTGAAGGCGTATCCAAGTTAAGGTCTGGATCATATATTGAAACTCATATTAATGAAAAAAAATATTTTTTTAATATTAAAATAATATCATAAATAATTGATTGAATTTTTAACCGAATCAGGCGAGCTGATCGGCGGCATGAGGGTCCAGGTGTTAAATGCAGGCTTTTCATTGAACAAGACCCACACTGTTTTTTATTATTTAATATAAAATAATAAATAATTGCAAATCTTATCCGTATAAAGCCTTGCCAAAAAAATCTTGAAAAAAAAAAAGGAGTCTGGCTTTGGTTAAAAAGAGCAGCGATTCTATGAAGGGTAAAATCAAAGAGTGATAGAGCGAATCAATGTGATTGACTGGGCAGTGAAGTGATGAAGGGACTTTATTGTCTTCCTCAGCTTTCTTGCCGAGAAAGGACCGTCCGAGACATCTTTATCTGATGAGCCGGTCCCTGTAGGTGGCTGGTTGCAATGTTACATCTTGTCAAGATGTCAAATCCATCGGGTACTTTTTTTCCTTTCTTTTTTGTCTTCTGGGCTATTATTTAATAAAAAAAACAAGGGCCTCCTCTTGTTTTCTTCTTGCCAGATGGAGACTAGGAATAGCCATGGCCATCACATTTCTCAGCTACTCTCCCTCTAATTAATTTCCCTTGGTTCTTTCTTTTTGTTACCTGTTTATAGTTTGATTTTTTATGAAAAAAATTCTCAGCTACTCTCCCTCTAATTAATTTCCCTTGGTTCTTTCTTTTTGTTACCTGTTTATAGTTTGATACAGTTTTTTTTTTTTTTTATGAAAAAAAGGCTACCTGATTGTCCTGCATGCATGCCCCCATTGGACTGGTTCCTTGGACCATGGCTGGATTATGAGTGGACACCAATGCATCCAAGAATGTTTTACTTACCGCTGGTTATTGTAATATGATTATCCATGGTTATTGCCCTTCTCTTTGTTCTTACTCTTTTGATCTGTCGTTGTTGTTGCAGCTTTTTGTAGATTGCTGAATGACAAATTTGAAATGTAGCTTCCATTTTCAATAAAAGAGATTGAGCTCCAATCCCTTCCAACCTGACAAGGTCCTTGGCAAAAGAAGGGTTGGTTGTATTATCTTGGCTTGGTTCTGATGATTTTCTGTCCGTTCAAGTTTCCATGGAAACTTCAAATTCAAATGTTACTTAAGAACTCTCAAGATCCCAATTCCCTGTTGCCAGGAATCTGATTGCATTTCAAATATCTGAGAAGCCCTTTTCTGGAAATCTGACTTTGAACATCAACAACCTCCCAACTTTGCTTGACTGTAGCTATCATTGTGTGTTTCGGATAGGGATCGCTCCTACAAGCTGTCCATGAGGGCTTTGCTTGACCAGTAGCTATCATTGTGTGTTTCAGACAGGGATTGCGCACCTACAAACTATCCATGAGGGCCTTTGTGCGCAGAAAAGAGCCAGAGGGATCGAATATGAACTCGAGTTTGAAAAGGTGCATACGCATTCTCATCAAATTTTTACATTCCATTGTTTCAAGAATGAATAAAAAGCCCATACAAAATTGCTTCCTATTTCACACAAAACTTGTACAACTTTCAACTGCTTAAACCCTTAGCAAACCACACCAAAAATACACTACCCCGGCCAGATGATATTAACTGTATAGATATTCAAGTAAAGCTTACTGAGATGGTAAGCCAAATTGCCCCCACTCTCTTTCACTTTTTGTTAAGCAGGTGAGCAAGGTTGCGAAGTTCCTCAAATGCATGCATTGTTTCTGCATCAAATCCTCCAGCAAACTGCATAAGGCAAGACAAGAATCATTAACTTTCGCTATGCATTGTTTTTCTTTCCCCTTCATAAACATTATTTAAGATGTCCGTTGGCAGAGAAAAGTTGATTTTTCCTGTGCAAACCATGCTGCCTCGAAAAATATTAGTTACTTTACCCCATCTCCATGTTCGTAATAAATGTCAACCAAATCAAACAGTTGAGTTCAAGAATCTCACTCTGAGAGATACTTTTCTTTCTGGTACAAAAAGTGATCTTGTTGGTGCAATAAATCAAGATGAAATAAAATGAACAGCCACAAAATTGCTTATCTACAAACCTGATGGATTCTGAAAGCAAATCTGACCCCTTGAAGTAGCATATAGTCCAGAGCAGGGTCTTTCTCTAGTGCTGCTGCCTTAGACTGGATTTCTGTAGCTACCCTCTTCATGTACTTTTTTGCCAACTTAACTGAGCCAAACTTTATCTACAACACGAGTTGTTGATTAATTGCCATGTGAAGGTCATTGAAAAATACTTGATGGAAAAGCAGCATAAAATTGGCAGCAAGGGTTATCGTCATTAGAAAATTTCTAGGAAGCATTCAAGAATTACAAGAAGCATACGATCACATGGATGTCCAGCTTAATCAGAAGTACAAAATCTTAAACCTTTTCGTTTCCTCAACTCTACTGGTTAATCCAAAAGCCATCATTTTCGAATGTATCAATTGTTTTCCATTGTTCACCTCCAAGTCATCTGCATGTCCAGTTTTAACAAAAGTGCAAAATCCTGAACTTTCCAATTCCTCGAACTCTAAAGCTTAATCCAAAAGCCATCATTTTCAAATAGCCATTGGTCGTTGTTAATTTGGTCACTTCTTAGTATTGCATTGCCATCTCCTCCAAAGGAAGATGGACCAGATTTTATTCCTTCTTTTCTTGTGTCCAAATCTTGTAAGTTTAACTTGTAAACTAACTAGTGAAGAATGAAATGAGAACGCCATGGCTTACCTTGCTAATAATTCCGTTGTCAAGCATCCAATCCGAGGGAATTTGGAATTCTTTGCAATTACGCATCAAAGACTCTCTTGTTCGTAGAAGGTTATAAACAGTGCGTTCCATCCTGCAGAGTGTATCAAATTAATATACACGGAGATAAATTATTTCAGAATAAAACATTAGCAGATGGCAAAAATTCAGGTTCATACTTCTCAGACAAAGCTACCATTTTCTTTAGTGCAATGTCACAAGGAACTCTGGGATCATTCTTGTAATATGATACTTCAGATTCCAACTTCTTGAGATCACTATACCCAAACGCTGCTTCTCTCAATGTGTCAGCTTTCTTTTCTGGCCAGTCAAAGTGCTTCAGGACTGCCCTTTCATCCACCTTCACGTAAATGAAAGCACCATGAGGATGATATAACATCTTTTTGTCATCCATATATACTATTTTCCCTTGTTAATTTATCTCCTTATAAGTATGGATACCGTGGTGTGTAGCAAAGTTTCTCCTTTAAATTCCATGTCATTTGGATTTTCAACGTAATTCTAAACCATAAAAAAATCTTCAAGATTACATCATAAACATGCTGCAAATAGGGTGTAATATTAGTTTTTCAGTCACTAAAGCGTTTGAAATATTCTTGCTAACATGCTTTTCTCATCGCCTATGACTAAAACCCGAAGGAAAAAAAATTGTCGACTCCGACAAAAAACTCACAAGAAAGCCAAGTTCATCATCAAGCCACTTCACAAATGCCACAACATCTTCGATGTCTCGGTAAACAGCACCATTGACCTCTCTGATCAGTGAATTGACAAATTCCCCTTGAGTTTCAACATCTGCCTTGATCTGAGGAAAACAAAACAGAATTACCACTAAGCATTTGAACTTCTTTTACTACACAAAAATGTCAAAAAGATACGTTTTTGGACTCCATCTGATAATAGTTATAAAGAAGTGAAAACTTGCATCCTCACAATAGCAAATCCAATCCCAGAAAGCTGCATTCAAGCTTTCATTTCTTTACTCTGTCTTGATGGTAAAATAAAAAAAAAGCAGTCATCTTTTAACACATTGCAGGCAAGCTACTCAATAACAACACTTGAAGTTGACCTTTGGATAAGAAGTAAGATTTCACTTACAGCAATCAAATGTGATGACCGGTTTTCAATTTCACCAATCATGTTGCTCCGAACATTTTTAACATCTGAGGCATCACAGATTCCCCCATTTGAAGACTCCTTTCGTGAGTCTCTCTTCATCAATGAATGGTAAAACTCTACGACTTGAGGTGCTCGCTGCACCACTCCTGCAGTAGTGTTCTTCACTGAGAACTTCGGAGGTGGTGGTGGAGGAGGAGGTGGTGGAGGCAGTGGTGGGAGTGAAACTTGAGCTGAACCTTCCTCTTTAGGTCCAGAAACAGAACATGAGGGTCTTGGCGGGGGATTTGGAACACGCAAAGCCCTTTTCTCAACATCTAATGGACCTACAATTTTTTTGGTCTCTTGGCAGTATGCAAGGATTTGAGGTCTTTGAATTATATCAAATTCATACTTTTCAGAACTTACAAGCTCTACTTCATTTTCCATTTCTTTTATACACATAAAACCATCAGATTGCCTTCTCCTATTCGGTACCAACTCCTCTATACAGAACTTTGATCCACTTATAGAGTGTCTCCTTCTTGGACTTCTCCCATCTTCCGATTGCACCCAATTTTTATCTTGGCATTCTAAGTTGGGCACGTCTTCATCAGTAATAGGCCATTTCTTCAACTTTTTAATCAAATTTAATCTCCTTTTACTATTATATTCTAAGCAGTCACTACTCTGGCAAGACATTAAGCCAGCAGATTCGTTACTCCTCTCTACCGATTTGGGGCTTGAGGACTTATCTGAATTCATTGTTGAGCATGAATTACGCAATTCATCTCTTAAACATGAATTGACCCACCTCAGATAGGCTAGCTCCTCAACCTCATTTAGTCTGCTCATCTGTAGACCCTCAACTTGTTTGCACAAATCTTCATTTGTGTGCCTTAGCAAAGATGCCTCAGCCTTAATTTTTGCAACAATGTCACTCTGATAAAATTCAAGAGAGAGTTCAGTAGTGGAACCTGGCCAGTTCTATTAAACTTAAGACTCTTCAGGCAAAAAGAAAGGAGATTATGATAGCACCAAATCAACATCACTGGTCCTCTGGTTTCTAATAAAAAAAGTAACTAATAAGGGACTACACCATGGATCAAAGAAGCCATTATCAAGACAAAATTAATCAATGCCAAAATAATAAAACATTGAAATTCTGTGCTTGCATTGAAGGTAATTGAGTGATAGAATCACATAAAACCCATACAAATTAAATCATTAGATTAATCAAATTCATCTATTGATTTGCTCTATTTTGTTTTCTAGAAAAAAAAATCATATAAATTAACCACAGATTGTACCCCATTTATCTTAAACCATTGTTCTTTTCAAGTCCTTAATACTGAAAGCTTCAAAATTTTAAAAACGAACTTCATTTTCTTTTCCACTATATCATTTTCTCATCAAGCAAACAAAGCATCCAAAACTAGAGAACGGAAGTTGATTTTTACCTCAGAAGCCTTGGTAAGGAAAGGTAATTGAGACTCCATAGAAGAGAGTTTGCAAGCAAGATTCCTCTTATCCATCTGCAGCTCCTTATTCAACCTCCTCAATTCCACAACTTCCATTTCAAGATTCCCCAATGAACTCTCATGCCCTTCCCTTTTCAATACATCTTCGTTTCTCTTCTGTGAAATCAAACACAACTCATTCACTTGTTCACAAAGACCACTTTTTTCAGACTGCAAAACGCCAATTCTCTTACAAAGCTCATCCACCTCATTTTTTCTTGCTTCAAGTTCCCTTTCAATATCAACTACTCTCCCATTCCTCTTAAGCTCTGATAACTCTGCTTGCAACTTAAACTCCCTTTCTTTTGATTCTTGAAGCAAGCTCCTTAATTGGTCTAATTCCACAAACAAATCTCTTGACCCTGAAGATTGTCTCCTGTGATTACCCTGGTAGGCATGTGGGTGTACCTGGCTTCCTATAACTGAGCAAGATAAATCACCAATGAGCGATCTTTTCACTCTTGAATGAGAATTCACAAGAGGGTTCTTTTGGTTTGTAGTATCTGAACTTGCTAATGGAAGTTTCTTGGTTGTTACTGTGATTGTTTGTGTTTTGGTTTTTTTATCAGCCGTGAAGCCTTTCACTATATGTGAACCCCATGAAGACTTGATCTTTGAAGCATTGTTGTTGCTGTTTCCTTTAATGTTTTGCGACTTTGGTGCTTGGTTTTGATCAGAAAATC